GCTGGCCAGTACAGGGATCAAACCCTGGACCTTGGTGTTATCAACACCACGCTCTAAGCAATTGAGCTAACTGGCCAGGCCCTAGATTCCTCATTCTTAATTACTGCGCTATATAAAGAGGATTTGCAGGGAGAGGAAGGGGGAGGAATTTGGTTAGCAACATTTATCTTGGTTTTCACATACTTCTGAAGTGTCACCAGAGATTGCGACACTTTTGAAACAAAATATTAAAGTCTTGATGGTCTCTAGTTTGAAAATAATGAAATTAAACACTCCGTAAAGTAAACACCATAGTTTTGGAGTCTTCAATTATTAAGTAGTTTTTGTTAAGAAAAACCATGCATATATACACACACATACCCAAATGTAAATATACATTAAGCACATATACATATATAATTTATAGTAATAGGTAACTGATAAAAAATATAATTAAAGACAATATTATTTATCATATTAAATGATGTACAAATAAGAAACAAGATAAAAACAAACTCTATGAATGATTTCTTCAACTGCTAAATTTGCTCATGAGCAGAGAAACAGAAACAAAACCTAAGATCCCATGGATTAGCTTATATCCCTTTCTTTCCTGGGTGGGCTGAACCATGATTTGCAGAGCCCTCATGAGTAGGGTGTTAGCAGTGATCAGGAGGGAAGGAAGCAGCATTATCTATGTCCATAAAGCCCTGTGACCATGGAAAGTCTTTCTGGAATAGTGTAGGCTAGCAGAGTGGAATGACATTAAAAGTCGCAAGGTGTTCTAGTAGAAAAATATGAACTTTAAAAATATGGCCTAATTCACAACAAAAAGGATCATTAATTCAATATTATTTTGTCTTTTTATTTTATATTAGTTATGTATTATAGGGTCAATAGCTGGAAGATCCTTTGAACCATTCAGAGACATATAAATTCAAATTAATGTTTGCTAGAAAACTGTATTCCCTCCAGACAAGATGTGAAAGTTTCTTTGATTTCTCTGGGACTTCAGAAGTAAGATCAGAAATGTCCAGGCAGCCAATAGGACTAATGGAAATTCTTGTATATTTAGAGAAAGGTCATTTGAGCATGGAGTCATAGGTAGGGGAAAGGTACCCATTACACACACAGGTGAGCCCATCTATCATACGTTTATCAAGTGCCCACCATATGCCTATAACTGCAGACACAATAATGCCCCACAGAGACAGGTGCTGCCTTCATGGAACTTAAGGCCTAGTTGGGGATACAGACAGTCAAATGATCAGGGTAATGAGAGTATAATTACAACCTGAGACCAATTATCTAAAGAAAATAGGATTTTTAGAGTGTATCAGTGAAGAAGCTGACCTAGACTTAAGGCTATATGTGAGGACAGTCTGGGATGAATGTTCTAAGAAGCAAAGGAGGAAAATTCCATACAGAGGAAACACAAATAAAGAAAAAAGGCAGCTGTAAAGGTCCTGTGGTTGAATCAGCACAGTAGATTCAAGATCTGAAGTAAAGTCCATAAGGATGGATCTTTAGGAAGGCAAGGGGGTCAGGGAGGTGGGAAATGTGAAAAATTAGTCTAAAAATTAGGAGAGCACAGACTATGCAGTGTCTTGTAGACTCTATTTAAATGAGGATTTTGTCCTCAGATCAATGAGAAGGCATAGTTGTGGAACAACATGGTCAAATACATTGTCAAAGAACTAGGCTTTCCACTGACATAAAGGTGACGGAAGCCAGCTCTTCAATGTAATCTAGCCTTTAGAAGTCATGCAAAACAAACATACCTGAACACATGGGGGGCCCTGGATCATAATCGGGCACATCATAAATGTAACTGGACCAAGGCAAGTTGTCTGTAGCTTTCCTCTTAATGATTGCACAGCGCCCCACACCCTTCAACCATCATTTTTTCAAATTTACAGCCAAGGCAATGATTCAGCACATTGAACAGCAAGTGAGTAGTTGATCTATTGACTTCTTGAGGAAACAAAAGGAGACAAGGACAGCTCCGGGGGCACCATCCNTTCTAAGAAGCAAAGGAGGAAAATTCCATACAGAGGAAACACAAATAAAGAAAAAAGGCAGGTGTAAAGGTCCTGTGGTTGAATCAGCACAGTAGATTCAAGATCTGAAGTACAGTCCATAAGGATGGATCTTTAGGAAGGCAAGGGGGTCAGGGAGGTGGGAAATGTGAAAAATTAGTCTAAAAATCCAGACACAATAATGCCCCACAGAGACAGGTGCTGCCTTCATGGAACTTAAGGCCTAGTTGGGGATACAGACAGTCAAATGATCAGGGTAATGAGAGTATAATTACAACCTGAGATGAATTATCTAAAGAAAATAGGATTTTTAGAGTGTATCAGTGAAGAAGCTGACCTAGACTTAAGGCTATATGTGAGGACAGTCTGGGATGAATGTTCTAAGAAGCAAAGGAGGAAAATTCCATACAGAGGAAACACAAATAAAGAAAAAAGGCAGCTGTAAAGGTCCTGTGGTTGAATCAGCACAGTAGATTCAAGATCTGAAGTAAAGTCCATAAGGATGGATCTTTAGGAAGGCAAGGGGGTCAGGGAGGTGGGAAATGTGAAAAATTAGTCTAAAAATCAGGAGAGCACAGACTATGCAGTGTCTTGTAGACTCTATTTAAATGAGGATTTTGTCCTCAGATCAATGAGAAGGCATAGTTGTGGAACAACATGGTCAAATACATTGTCAAAGAACTAGGCTTTCCACTGACATAAAGGTGACGGAAGCCAGCTCTTCAATGTAATCTAGCCTTTAGAAGTCATGCAAAACAAACATACCTGAACACATGGGGGGCCCTGGATCATAATCGGGCACATCATAAATGTAACTGGACCAAGGCAAGTTGTCTGTAGCTTTCCTCTTAATGATTGCACAGCGCCCCACACCCTTCAACCATCATTTTTTTCAAATTTACAGCCAAGGCAATGATTCAGCACATTGAACAGCAAGTGAGTGTTGTCTGTAGCTTTCCTCTTAATGATTGCACAGCGCCCCACACCCTTCAACCATCATTTTTTCAAATTTACAGCCAAGGCAATGATTCAGCACATTGAACAGCAAGTGAGTAGTTGATCTATTGACTTCTTGAGGAAACAAAAGGAGACAAGGACAGCTCCGGGGGCACCATCCAAACTAGAAGTAACACAATGTCAGAATGAGATTTTGCATCCTATTAGCATACCGTCAAATGTGAAGAGAGTGGACAAGTCAACATCACTAGATCTTGTTCACTTGTCATTTGTGTTTTGTAAAACAGAATTCAGTAAGAAGGTCTTAATTTTCAAGTAACTCAACTCATACTTTTCAGGTATAGTGAAAATGCACCTTTTAAAAAAAATACAAAGAAATGTATATTAGCATATAGATTTTTCAAATAAGATCCCAGAATCTCTGTGCAGTAAGAAATCATGTATGTTAACCCTTTCTTGTATGAATGTGGGATATAAAATAACCACACCTTACTCAAGATTACAAATTTTTATGATCTCGATGTCTTTATATTCAGCTGCCATTCTGATTTAGAGTATTTCAAATCCGATTAAAGGTCTACCCTGATCATCTACGTAGGAAAGTTCTGCAGAGCAAACATGCACATGGATTCACCCAATGGTGTTCAATCAATTAATATATGCATAAATTCTCCAGTAAATGTGCAGTCATTCTGTCTTCCATTTTGATCAGAAGGCCCTGGAGTTTGCTATGTTTTCTCTCCTAGCCATAGTCGTTCTTGACATCGCTTTAAGTGTTCAAACCCCTCTGCAGTCATTTTATTTGTAATAGTGCCTTGTGTGTTGTGTCTCCTAGCTCTACATACAAACTACCACGCTTACAATCTCCATGAACCTAAGTGCGTCAGTGGCGCTGGGGATGCTATACATGCCGAAAGTATACATCATCATTTTCCACCCTGAACTCAATGTCCAGAAACGAAAGCGAAGCTTCAAGGCGGTAGTCACAGCAGCCACCATGTCATCACGGCTGTCACACAAATCCAGTGACAGACCCAACGGTGAGGCAAAGACAGAACTCTGTGAAAACGTAGACCCAAACAGTAAGTAACTCTCTTTCCTTTTGTGTTTCCATCGTGCATTAGGAAGCTCTAGAAAATGTGGTGTGTCCTTGCCTCTCTTTGGAGAAATAAGGTTACCGTTCTTGTCTTATGAACTGGGATGCCTTGGTGGATTCTAACTTCTGCTCTTCTGAGTTTGACTCACTCCTGCCACTGTTTTCCTTTTGCTCCCTGTTGGAAAGGAATTTACAGAGGCTCTGATTCAGAAATGTGAAGCTTCCCCTTCCTTTGCTTCTCGTCCTTTGGTACCAAACCCTCCAATTGATATAAACACACCTGTCACATTGTGAACCACCCTTCTTTACCCTTCCTGTTAGGGAAATAACTTCTTCCTGTTAGGGAATCTTCCATACCTAAAGAACTATAGTGTACGAATGCCATTGGAATATTTAAGAACTTTGAAAGTGTAGCTTGTTTTCACTGGCACATGAATGCAGAATAAGTTATTCTTCTTTACTAAGCAAGTGTTCTAGAAACAAAAACACATAAAATATAGAATAAAGTTGTCAAACTTTCATCCAAGTACACAAGCCCTCATCATTATTCTAACAGCATCACTATGTGGGAAAAACATCTATTACACCACTGCAGAAGAGTTTCAATCTGTGAAAGACAAAATCTCAGGGATAGGATTAAGGAAGGAATATTAGATTTGAGATGCTATTTGGTATGCCTATAACACCCTGGTAGCCTTAGTCATGCCCGCAAATGACCCCAAACAAAATGGGCATACAGACATCACTTTGTAAATAACACAAGACCAGCTCACAGATTAAATGCATGGAATTTCCAATTGCTGATTATACTAATAATATGGTTATAGGAGTGAATTTCAGAGTAAAAATATATTTCTAAAATTTATTTTCCAGGAATATTTGGGCCATGTTCATATAGAATGAGTCAGATTCAAGTGTTCATTAATACTTCTGTTAGAAGTAGAAGTGGTTTCAGGAATATTATTTTTCATTTATAAACTGATCTTGTAGCCAAAAGCTTAATCCCCAGCAGAAATAAGTTTCTATTTTAAATACTCTGAGGGAATCCTTTTTACCCTGCAGATAAGAGAGACACCTTTAAAAGCCAAGAGGCCAACTGGCTTTGGTCCTGACAAGCACTCTGCAAGGATTCATGATCTTGGTCCATCTGCATTGATCAATAGTTAGTTGAGTGAATGTTGTGAAACACTTTGAAAACATATACACAAGGTAACAAGGTTAATCAACAACATAGTGGGCTTCACTCTGACTTTTCAATAGAAGAAATTCTGGGACAAGGCTAAAGGAAGGGAAAGGATCACACTGAGAGAGGGAGAAACAGAATGAATGCATAGGCTCTGTGCTGTCTCCAGAGCAACTGGTCAGTTGCAAGGTGGGGAAGTGGTTGGAGAATTGCTTTGTCATTCAATGTCATGTAGGAAGAGGCTTTGTGTTGAGACAGACCTGGGTTCAGATTCAAGCCATTCAACTTACCAGCTGTGTGGCTTTGAGAGTCACTGGGCTTCATAAAACTAAGCATCTTTATGTATAAAATTGAGGTAATATTATCTATGTCAAAAGGTAAGTGTGTTGTAAAATATTATGTGTCGAGCAAATAGTGTATCAATTAAATGTCAATTTCCTTCTATTCCAAAAAAGAAGCAAAAATCTTTGCTTAAAAATAACTTTCAGTATAATCGATTAAGTAGATATGCTTGTGCAGTTAAAGGCAGACTGAACACCACAAAGTAGATGAAACTGATTTCCAAAAAGAAGTATTTTCATGAACAAATGTGTGTATCTATTTATATTTATACCTGTATTGATAAATATACCAATATATTTATACTTCTGCAGCTTTTTATTCTAGGGACTCTTGTCAAATTTGCATTTCATGAAACATATCCTACAAATATTCCAACGACAGCTTTTTATTTATATATATACACAGACACACACAGACACGCACACACACAAATTTAACTAGATACTGCCCAAAATCAATAAGCGGAAAATATAGTTGAAAGTCTATATGTATTGAAAAAGAAAACAGATCAAATTAGAACTTTTGAATTTGGACAATTAATTCAATACTATGTTCCTTAAGAATCATTAACTTTCTAACAACATACCTACTGCTGCTCTCTTAGGTCCAATCCCACTGAAGCTTTTTAGGGTATAGCAGTAATTGTTAAAATGTTAACACTAACACTAATACTAATACTAGCATTAGGTACCCTTGGAAATAGGCATTATGCAGAATGCTTTTTATGGAAGATCTCACTTCTCACAATAAGTCTGTGGAACAGATACTATTGTTATCATTTTATTGAAGAAACTTAGGCTTAGCAAGATTAAGTGACATTACCAAAGTCCGACACCTAGTTAGTATCAGAGGTTGGACTAAAACCAAGGTCTGACTCCTAAACTCATGCTTGTTCATCTTTGATCTTCTGTTTCTTAGACCATAAGTGGCATGTGAAAATTCCAATGCAGAAACTACTCTTTTGGCTCCCTCATTTGGTATTAGAGCTTGTATATAAAGAATATAGTAATGTTTGGTGGGAGATTCTTTAGTTAAATGTGTATGAAATGTATTATTGCTTGTTGTGTTGTTCAAAGAAGGCTGCTCAGGTAGAGGCCTCATCTTACCCACTCAAAAGTTCAAATATTATATTACCTTTTTCAATCACAACAATGATTCCATTTGGAATTCATTTTGTGTCTTTCTTTGAAAAAGTTTTATTGGCTTTTTTGTTGTTGTTCTTTGCTTGTTGTGTTGTTCAAAGAAGGCTGCTCAGGTAGAGGCCTCATCTTACCCACTCAAAAATTCAAATATTATATTACCTTTTTCAATCACAACAATGATTCCATTTGGAATTCATTTTGTGTCTTTCTTTGGAAAAGTTTTATTGGCTTTTTTGTTGTTGTTCTGGTGTCTATATAGAGCCAAGATAAACAGTTCAGGGAAAAAAAAAAAAAAGAAAGAAAGAAAGAAAAAAAGAAAAAAATGGAGCTCCCTATTCACAATCAATTTGAAAGATTTTTAAATAATGTGTTAGCTCTTTGGGTATTGTGTAGACACACCCTAAGACACCATGATGACTTTGGCTAGATATTTGCTGAACCATAGAAGGAGATTCATGTACCTCCAAACATTGGGGTTTCTGATGACCCAGTTCTCAAAGGTCCCAAAGAGGAATCAAAAGACTTTTCCACACAAAAGCTGTCCCATAGAACTTCCTGCAATGATGGCAGTGTTTCATATCTTTTCTGTCATGTACAGTAAACACTAGCCACGTGTGGCTATTGAGCACTTAAAATATAGCTACTCGACTAAGAACATACATTTTTTTAAAATTTTTATTTTGTTTTAGATAATTTAAATTTAAGTGCTATCTGTGTCTGTGACTACTGTATTGGGTAGCACAGCTCTAGAAATTAGCATATCTTAATAAGCAAGGATTTCATTCTAGGACACTCATTTTTAGTTCACATTGAATAAAGCTCCTGCAGTTTTAGCACTGATGCTGATTTGGAACAAAGGCAACTTAAAGGAATAACACATTTGAGATGAGACAAAAATGCAAACAATTAGTTGTATAAAATGATTCCCAAAGGAGCTGCTAATTTATGGAAAAAGTGACATTTAGCCACGTGTGGCTATTGAGCACTTAAAATATAGCTACTCGACTAAGAACATACATTTTTTAAAATTTTTATTTTGTTTTAGATAATTTAAATTTAAGTGCCATCTGTGTCTGTGACTACTGTATTGGATAGCACAGCTCTAGAAATTAGCATATCTTAATAAGCAAGGATTTCATTCTAGGACACTCATTTTTAGTTCACATTGAATAAAGCTCCTGCAGTGTTAGCACTGATGCTGATTTGGAACAAAGGCAACTTAAAGGAATAACACATTTGAGATGAGACAAAAATGTGAACAATTAGTTGTATAAAATGATTCCCAAAGGAGCTGCTAATTTATGGAAAAAGTGACATCATAGACAGCAATTACATTTGAAAAACCAGTCCCCAGCAATGCAAAAAATGTATGTTTTTAAGGAAAGAGTAGCAATGAAATGTTCAATTAAGGAAAGTAGACAAGACTCTTCTGCTGCTAGGCAGCATTATTGGCATACTCTGTTTAATACCAAACACAGCTCAAATTATCTCCAGTATTGGAACTTTTGTAACAAAGGGACAAAGAAGTTATTGGCTAAACGTAAGCTGTCTGGTTAAAACAAACAAACAAAAACGCAGACCATGCACTTGACAAAGGATTCTGTCTCTGTATCCCCAATGGGGAAGTTCAGTATACTGTTTTCTGAGGGAGGGTATCCGAGAGGAAGTTAAGTTTATAGCATGTGCTACAAAGTAAGTAATGGAACAGGAATGTCCTCTTATTCATTGTTGCTCTGAACACTTGGTCTGTATCTCAATCTTCAGTGTTTTCATTTTTTAACAGCGCTGCTCCATCATTGCAGTTCACCAGCTGGTGCATGCATGCTTCCACTCATCCAGCTCTGCTCTGCAGCTACATGTCTACATAAAAATGGATTTGCTTGCTGGCTTAATATGGGCAGACACTAAAACGACCCCCTCCACTGCTTTATTTTCCCTCCAAAAGTTCAATTTTTCTTCTTAGGTTACTTCTTCCTAAGAATTTGAAATTCCATTGTTTGAAAGAAAAACTCCTTTCAGTGTGGAATAAATAGAAAGTAAACCTTCTCAAAATTTTAA